CGTCAGCTTTGGGATCGCTGCTGCAGAGCCTGTAGGCAGGTGAATTACTGTGGCTGAGCTTGAAAGGCCTTCTTGTTTCCTTTGCTCACACAGAAACCCTGGATTCTCCTGATGCTGCTACCAAGATACCTCCGTATCAGCTAAGGTAAGAATGTGTGGTGACTTGAGTCCTGTAGAGCTGTATTTGTAAAATCAAATTCACAATTTGACCCACAAGTGAGGCAGACAGGAAAAGGAGCGGAATATATATGTTTTCATTAGTTTTTATGCACATATATACCTATGTATGCACTGTTTGTAAATGAGTGATTTGGTGATGTGTCCTTAGTCCATCCCTTAATGAAATGTAAAGAATGGCATAAATGTAGACAGGAGTATAATGCTGATATTTGGTTAGAAAGGAAGTTTGTTTTATGGCCTTCTGAATTACAGCCTTCAAAACGTATCAGTTGATGCTTCCTAGTTGTCTCAGTGTGTATATTTACCTTTAAATGTAGATCAGCTCTTTTTTACTGGAAATAAATATTTTAGAAACGGTAAGGTATCTCATCACATATGTGGAGAAATAAAGTTTTTAGCCTATTGGTTTATTAACAAGTAAGCCTTGTTACTCTTTTTGCCTCCATTTGGCCGTCTGTAAAATAGAAGATGACACTGCCCCCATTTAATAGCCCCAAGCTACTTAAGATCTTGTTTTGGAATTTCTGATTGCTCTGGAGAAAGTAAATAGGTAAAATTATTCACTGTCCCTTCTGATGGAAGCTCTAGGAAACATCAAAAGAGACTGGTGCCTGCAAATTTCTAAACAAGAAGATACTAATTTGCACAGCTCACAGTTAAGATTCTAAATATATAGACTTCTCTTGCTAGAGAGTGGTGTGGTTTGCATGGATTCAAAAAGCAACTTAACAAATCATGGAAGAAACTGGTTGAGCCCTACTGGATACAGAGGTACTTCTTATTCAAAAGTGTCCAAGTCAGAGGTCATTGTGGCTATCAGAGAACTTACAGAGCAATGCTACAAATTTATCCAGACCTGTAGTCTTCCCAGATAGATGGCTGCTGATGGAAGCAATCTTTTTTTTTTCTCCGCTGCTGGGGTGCTGTATTCTTTTCTGAGAGCAATTTTACCACCTCCTTTCTCTCCATTGTTCCTCGTGGATATGCTTGGTGCAACTTTGTGCAAGGAAAATTAGGGAACCTGAGATCTTGTCACTCCAGAGCAGCCACCAAGTATGAAGAGAATAAAAGCAGTTTCGTTGCTGCGCTCGGCTCCCGTCGGTTACAGCCCACAAGGGAGCTCGTGTCAGTAGGGAATGGCATGACATGACCAGCCCCAGACACACGCGTTTCCAGCCCAGCTCGAGCAGCTGAGAACAGCTGCTTGGGTAATTCCCAGTAGCTCCATTAGAATTAGATTATGCTTGCTTTGCACTGTGATTGCAGAAAACTGGACTCTCTGTCTTTCCCTTTATCAGCCTTCATCTTTAATACAGTGTACAATCTCTTTGTTTGCCTTTAAACACTCTTCTCATTCCATATGAAGTAGTGAACTAGCTGTTAGCACATTTCTACCTTTTCTGACTACTGTCTCTTTAAAGATATGTCCTCCTTTTCTCCCCGTGTTATTAATATTGCATTTCTTGAGTTGGCATCTTCCACAGTAAATCAAATTAGCTCGATATAAAGCTAATAGTTTGACAGATGCAGCTAAGGTGAACTGTAAGGTTAGGCTTGTCAGTAACGATGCGCTGTTACTGTGCTTTTACAAAATGAAGGGTGCATGAGAGCTGAATGAAAGCTTTGGTTGTGGGATCCTTGTGGAGGTGTTAAGGCAGCCAGGCTGAATCTCAGATGAGCAGAGCCTAGGAGATGTGACTTTCACCAGTCAGCTTTATTCTAAGGTTGCTGCTCATTCTCTGCTAATAAATGGAGCCACATCTTGGCCTGGAGTTCACCTACATGGCGTATCAATGCCAAGCTGAAGAGAGCCCTCCCTGCCTTGGTGTTTGTTCAAGAGCAACCCAGTGAGAGTTGGTTCCTGATGTTGTAAAAGAAACAATGTGATTGCAATGAGCAAAACCAGCCTGAGACAGGGGCTGAGCAGAGAGATCCTGAACATGCCCCTTTTCTGCTTTCATCTCATCAGCAGCAGATTGCATCATCTGCCTTCACAGAGCCCAGGCCCTGGCTGCTGCTCCCCTTCGAAGCGAGACATTAGCAAGGGATACTAGTCCAGCTCAGACATGAAATGACAACATATTGATAGAGTTAAAGGCAGTATGTCAAATAGTGCAGTGGAAAAAATATATTTGTGCAATCATCTCCTCCAAGAGCAGCAGCTAAATGAGTATTTTGAATATTGTGTGTGAAAGGAAGATGCTCTAGTTTGTTCACTTGGAAATTTTGGTGTGTCCTTAGAATATATTGAGTACAAGGAAAATAGTTCAGCGCTTCTCTGCTTTGTATTTTGGCAAGTTCACAATCTAGGGCATATTTATGCTGCAGAAGAATGTGGGGGCAGAGAGATTCATGAGCTGTCACATCCAGTTGGGAGGGGTACTGGCTCAGTTCAGAAATAGCAGGTCTCATAAGAATCCCACCTGTGTGTTCACGTGGTTTCTGTTCCTTCAGGAGTCAGCCCCTGCCTTCCCCTAGCAAGGGACGCTGCGGCCCATGCCGTGGGACAGACAGCCGTGCCCGTGTGTAAGCCCTTCTTTTCCTTCTGGAGTTGAAGACTGGTGTCTGCTCCTGGAAAGGAAGAGGTGCCAGCTGCTTACTGCCTGTGCTGACCCACTGCTTTTAGGCCATCTGCTGCTTTTGAAGCCATCGTCGTAGATGAGCAGGAGCATAATGCTTTCTTTTAAGATCCTGGTGTAAGAACAGGGAGGACAAGGTATCTCTATTTCCATCAGGCTATGACTAGTTTATTTTTTTCTTAATTTATTTTTCATGTGTTGCATCAAAGACATTTACCTACAACATACTGTTGGATTAGATTATTACTATATTCTAGTTTGCTCTTGACCTATCCATACCTTCTTCTCTTACGTTATGCCTCTGTTTCTGAGCACATGGCAGGCGAGGAGAGAGGGTTTCCTGAAGCCTGTGCAGTTGTGGGGTTCAGCTGTAGCATTCATATGATAGCTGCTGCCAGCGTGTGTCTGGTAGCACTTTAGATGGCAGATGCCCGCTTTATTTGGGAAGCACCTGAGATATTTTTGCCCCAAGGGCCAGCAGTGATTGGGCATTCAGGCTGTAATGTTCTCCTTTAATTAGTTTAATAGCAAACAGTTAGGTATATCTTCAGAGAGCTGAAATGGGGCCATTTTGCTGTTCAGCTTCCTTTTATGTTAATTGAACTTATGAATCCCAATGACAGTTAATGACCTTGAATATTAATTCTGGTAGGGGGTCTTGCTTATTAGAGAAATACGGATCTCTGCAACAAATGTGGGTTTCCCCACAGGGTCCTGCCAGCTCTGCCTTGAGGTGGGACTATAAGTGTGCTTTAACTCTGTGACTGGAGTATCGAGCTATGGTGCTAAATAGTAAAGAAGATTAAAGTGACCAAAGATGGGAATGGCTGTAAGTCAGTTCAAGGCTTTGTCACAGGCTGCCTTGGAAGTCTTGAGCGAGGAACTTCGCATCACCCACGCGGGTCACTGCCGCCAGCACAGTGAGGTGGTGTCTGCATCTCTGATGAGCAGATGTTGTGAAAATTAAATATAAGCCAAGTGCTTCAAGGGACTGGATGGATGCCTTATAAATAATGAATTAGGTAAAAGGAGATGCTGGGCTGATGTTTGGATCGGTGAATTGATCAAATGGAAAATAGCTGAAGAGAGCTCAATGGAGTCTGCCAGCAAGCAGTGGTGCTGGCTCTTGTTTGCTACTAAGTTGGGCCACAGTAATTTCAAGATGAAGTTCAATGTAATGCCAATCATTTACAGAGACAGCCTTTTTTTGGCTGATTCCTGGCCAATTGGTCCAATGTGATTTTTTTTTTTTTTAGAAGCTGAAACATGATCTATGAGAGGTAACTGAACATATACAAGCAAATAAGAGAATGAGGATAGTATAATAGACACTAAAATAGGAGGCTAGACAACATTTGCCAGTCATACACCACCTTGAAAAGATTTGGTTTTGCACGTTTTTGTTGGAATGCTCTCTGTAACTAAGCTGCCTTCAGGTTGTGTAAAACTTAGCAGCTTTCCGTCAGCATGGAGCTGTCCTCCGAGGAGGAGGCTGGGTGGGACTTTTGAGAGGGGCTGTGGCTCCTTGGTGGTTTAGCTGTTAGTGTTGGTGTTGCTCTCCCTCGCTGGAACCTGGTTTCTTATATACAGAATTTCTTATCATGTCCGTGGTATTCTTTGTTGGGAAATAGTTTTCATAATCTTCAAGGGACTTCCTCACAGCTCTGAGACATTTCCTTCAATTACCAGGTCTTTTATTAGCCTATCATCACACTTGTTTTCCTGAGACCAGAAGAATGGGAAAATATCTTTTTGTCCCTCTGTCAGTGTAGTAGAAACATCACTGCAGACATGACTTTGAACTGTTCTGTGGAGTTTGTGTCTGTTGTCTGTTTACTCTTAGAGAAATATGATTGAGTGCAGAAAATGATACAGAGGCAGGATTTTCCATGGTATGAATTGCTGTTCTCATTGGCCTACAGTTTCACTTGTGGACTTTACCGAGATACGTTGCTGGGTGAATCATGTTGGCCTAATAACTAACTCAGTTTGCGTCCTTTCTTCAAGGAAGAACCTGAAACACTTTCCCAACGCTTGGTTATCTCTGCAGCAAGTCTGTATGCTGCATATCTCTGTATTTAAAAGCTGTAGAAAGTAATTGAAACAAAATAGAGGCACAGGCCCAGTTTTCAAAGGTACCCGTCAGGTTTGGTAGCTTCCAGAGGTGCTGGGCATTGGCAAGCCTTGTTTCTGTCAGCAGCACATGTTATGGATGTGGCTCCCTACAGAAGCTGACATGCCTCTGGTGCTTCATATTGGCTTCTCAAAACTAGCCGGTATTTTGGGGGATTAGAATTGGGAAATTGAAGGTCTTAATCCCCATTTCTAATCATGAGATTACAGATACGCTGCTCCTAAGAGGAGGTGTGGGGGTCCTAGTCTCACT